GAAGTAAAGGCAGGCCAAGAAGAGTTCAATGCCAGCCTTAGCTACACAGTAAGTTCAAGGCCCAGCCTGGGCTACATGAGCCCTTACTTCAAAAAAAAAAAAAAAGTCTTTGTGTGTGTGTGTGTGTGTGTGTGTGTGTGTGTGTGTGTGTGTGTGTTGGGTGGTCTGACCATCAATGCTATATGCTGGTAGACAAAGGGTTAAACTCCTGAAGATGAAGGCATTGTCACCTGTTCTTCCAGTGATACCTGGGAAAGCTGGTTCAGGGGAGGGGTGGGAGTGGGGAGAATTGAGTCACCCTCGGTGCTGGAACCCAGAGCTGGTTAACTGGGCTCACGATGGATACATGGAAACAGGAGAGAAGGATCCCGAAGGGATGGCTGTGAAGGGGTGTGGGACCCTCCTGTAGTCACGCCTAGGCTGTAAGAAAAGCTGTGTCAGGTGAGGCAGAAGAAAGGGCATTGCTTACTCTCTGTCCTGGTTCCTTTTCAACGAACTTGACACGAGCTAGAGTCATTTGGGATGAAGAATTTCAATTGAGAAAATGCTTCCATCATATTGCCTATAGGGAACTCTGTAGAGCGTTTTCTTATTAGTGATTGATGCGGGAAAGCCCAGTTTATTGGGGGTGGTGCCATCACTGGCCACGTGGCCCTGGGGAGCAAACCAGTAGCATCACTCCTTCAGAGCTCTGATTCAGTTTCTATCTCCAGGTTCCTGCCCCAATTCAGTTCTACCTTGGTATCCCTCAGTGATGGACATATAAGCCAAATGAACCCTTTCCTTGCCAGTTTGCTTTTGGTAGTGGTGTCTTTATCACAGGAGCAGAAAGCTAGCTAAGACACCAGCTGTGGTGGTTACATGTCTGTAATCTCCACATCTGGGAGACTGAGCCAAGAGTCTGTGCTACACAGCAAGACCATGCCTCAAAAGAATTTTTTCATGTTTTCCTTTTCTCTCCTCCTTTCACTCCTTCCTTCATCCTTTCAAGACAGGGTTTCTCTGTGTAGCCCTGACTATCCTGGAACTCACTTTGTAGACCAGGCTGGCTTTGAACTTGGAGCTCTGCCTGTCTCTGCCTCCTGAGTGCTGTAAGATGTGAGCCACCACTGTCTGAGCACCCTCTCCCCCGCCCCCAGAATCTTTTGTCATCCAAGTAGCCTAGGTCTGCACAAGGCAGCGTTCTTGGTGTGTCCTGTGGTCCCTAGTCTCTGGCCTGTCCTCCAAATCACAGCTGTGGATGGCCAGAGCATAGAGGTCTCAGAGGATTTGCATCTCTAGAACCTGCTGACCTGGCCTGCGAGGTCTGAGGCGTAGAACCCCAAACTATTGCTTCTACATTTGGATGTGGGGCTTCTAAGGGATTCTGCTGCAGCTGTGCCAGCTCTGGACCTCGGGGGCTGGGCCAGGACCATCACAGGTGCAAGTCTGGGTAGCTGTCAGTAACAGGATGCAAGTTCGAGGAACAGTGTGCTGGCAGCGAAGAGGAGAACTCGATGCCAACCACCTCCACAGGACTGGTGCTGTGAGCCCACAGCTGTCAGGCCCCCTCACTTCCTGTTGATCATTATTTCAATGTCATCTCCAAGGTGCCAGAGGATGCTTCCTTGCTCCTTTATTTATCTAAACTTATTTTTATTATTTAAGAGTGTGTGTGACTGTGTGACTGTAGGTTTGAGTGGGGAAGCCAGAAGGCATCAGATTCCCTGGAACTGGAGTCACAGGCAGTGTGGGCTGCCTGAGGGTGCTGGGACCACAGCTGAGGTCCTCTGCAAGAGCAGCCAGTGCTTTTAACCGGAGAGCCGTCTCTCCAGCCCATCATTTCTCTTAGAACACACTCATTGTCGTGAAATAGAGTTGAGGTTTCTCCTCAGAGCTCTGCCCAAAGTGCAGGTGTGTGAGCAAAATAAACATTGTCACCTGAAGGCACTGAGTTTGGGGATGGCTTGTCACACAAAAACCTAACTGGACCAGAAGCCCTGGACTTAACGAAAGCTTTACACGGGGCTGAGTAGTGCAGGCCTGTAATCACAGTGTTTATGAGGTAGAGGCAGGAGGATGAGGAGTTCAAGACTATCCTTGGCTATGTAGAAGACTGATTGTAGCCTAGGCTACATGAGACTTTGTCTAAAAATGAGAGAGAAGGAAAAGAAAAGAAACAAATAAAAACATGATTATTTGATTTTCGGTATGAAATAGAGAAATTCTTCAGCTACTCCAGAAGAATATTAGCAAAATAAATGAGATCATGGAGTGACAAAATCAAGACACAACTGTTCTAGGCAAAACTTCAGCCTTTCCCATATTTCTTCTTGGTCAATGTGACATTTCTGTTTTTCTTTTTTAGATTCACTTTTATCTGTGTGTGTGTCTACATGTATGTATGTGAATGTGCGCATGGGTGCTCACATAGCCAGAAGAGGACGTTGGATCCCCCGCAACTGGAGCTGGACGTGAGTGTGAGTGTGAGTGCTGGGTACTGAACCAGGGACCCCAGGAAGAGCAGCTAGTGCTTTTAATCACCAAGCCTTCTCTCCAGCTTTGCCTAACAGTTAAAAAAAACAAACAAACTTTGTATTGATTCTTTCCCTAGTAGCTTTTTAATCATGGTTTTGCACACTTTGATCCCAGCACTCAGGAGGCAGAGGCAGGCAGCTCTCTGTGAGTTTGAGGCCAGCCTGGTCTAAATAGTGACAGGACAGCCAGGGCTACACAGTGAGACCTAGTCTCACATGTGTGTGTGTGTGTGTGTGCACATATGTGTTTATGTATGTGAATATATATATATATGTGTGTGTGTGTGTGTGTGTATACATTATTATATATTCATTTATTTTGTCTATGTATGTGGCTGGGTACATGCTTGCCATGGTGGACATGTGTGAGGGTCAGACAACGTTCTGAAGTCAGTGTTTCCTCCCACAAGGTGGGTCCTAGAGATGGAACTCAGGTTGTCAGCAAAGGCCTTGTCTAACAATCTCCTTCATGATCAGAACTGAACAGAAGCTCCTTACGTCAGGAGGTAGACAAAAACAAGAGAGCTTCAAGAACTCCCTGGAACTGACTGGATTCACTAGCTCCCTCCCTTGAGCCTAGGCACCAAGACTCAGACAAGTTAATTGCAAAAAAGACTCTCGGAGGGGAAAAGCTGCAAAGAGGACTCTGAGACCAGACCAGCTGACCCCCGAGAAACAGAAACTGGCCGAGCTGCCTGACATAGTTTTATACCAACTGAGGAGAAAGGACATTCTCCAACCTATTGAGCTGTAGACAGGCTGTGCAGTTCCAGCTTTGTGTCACCTGTGCTAGGGTGGTACACCTAGGGAAATACAGTTGTTTTTGAGTCATTTCTGCTCCTGTTCGTAATCCCAATTAAACTCTTCAGTTCACTAAGTTGGATTTTCATGGTCTCTGGTCTGTTGTGGGTCCCCTATCTAGGATGAGTAGATGTGTCTCCCCAGGAAATGTTTTGTCCCACAGTATACCTTTACCTACTAGCCCATCTTGCCAGGCTTGAAACACACACACACACACACACACACACACACACACACACACGCACACACACACACACACACACTCCATCTGGAACCCAGGCTCTCCTTCATGCCAGGCATGAAGATCTGCTATTGAGCTTCCCTCTCATGGTTACTCCCCCATATCTGTTTGTTTTGATGGTTGGTTTTTGAAGCAGAGGGCCTGCTTGTGTAAACAGAGTCCAAGCTGCTATGATCCTCCTCCCTCAGCCTTCCAAGTGCTAGAACCACAGGCTCACATGAGCCACCCCGCCCACGAAAATCACGTTTATTTTAAATGACTTATTTCCTTAAACAGCTTTAAAAAAGAAACGCAAGTTTTATTTTGTGTCTGCTAGGCATTGAACGCAGGGCCTCTTTCATGTTAGGCTTTGGGACTCCGCCTCTGAGCCACACCTCCGACCACTAATTTCTTTTTTGCTTTGTTTCGAAACAGAAGGTCTTGTTCGCTCTGAGCCGCAGGCTGGCTTCCGGCCCTGGAATTCTCTTGTCTCAGCCTCCTGAGTGCCGGGGTCATAGGCGTGTACCGCCACTCGCCCAGCATTTTCATCAGAGCACACGCAGGCTCTCAGTTTCCCCTGTGGCCCCTAAGATGCGCACGCTACCAGCTCAGCCCTTTCTGAGGCGCACACCGCGGAGCTCAGCACAGACACACCCCAGTCTTCAAGAGCAAAGCTGCTCCCCAGGGCAGCCACTATCGTGTTTACAGGCGGATTCTCCAAGTTTGGCTGACGTAAGACCACAGCCTTTCCTTAGGGAGAATGACGGCTCCACTTGTTTTTCCTTCAGCCTCTTGTTTTAAAAGTTGCTATATTTATTTTCAAGCCTTTCCCCCACAGGTGGTGGTCCTCACATTAAAAAAAAAAAAAAAAAAAAGGCTATAAAGCCAAGATACGTGTTGCGTTGGTCTCTTACCTCCCGGGAAATCAGGAATAGGGAGGGTTTTCTCAATTTGTTTATTTATGTTTAGTATTTTTAGTTTGTTGTGGAAATATTCAGTGCTACATAAAAAGGGGCCCCGGACTCTGTGGGACATCTCTTGCTCCAGGGCCTCGGGGCGACGGCTGCTGCCCCACCCATCCCCCAAATCGCCCAGTTCTCGCAGGCCGCGAGCTCCCGGGTTGGAGTGCTTCTGGGCGGGAGTGGAACTGCCTGCAAGGCTGCCAAACGTAACTCTCCGGTTTTCGCTACGGGTCCCCTGGGAAACACGAGGTACCCGGTTCCTCGAGGGCGGATTCTGGCGGCAAGATCAGAGTTGATTTCAGGGTCCGTGGTTGCCCTGGGGGACGGTCAGCATCCAGTGCCAGCCTCTGGGAGGGTTAGGCAGACGCAGCCCCCGGGCGCGCAGACTCTCGCTCGTCCCCGGTCCAGCCGGCTGCCCCGCCGCTCCCGCGCCTCCTTAAAGCCGCAGCTCCGCCCCGCCCGCCCCGCCTCCCCGCGGTTCTACCCAACCGTCGGGTCGGGAACAACTTCACCGAGCGTCACAAAGCCACGAGCCCGCAAGGAACCGCAGCCCTCTGAGTTCGCGCGCCGGATCCCGCATCCCCGTTCCACCATCACCACCCGCCAACCATGTCCAGCGAGGAGCTGGCCGGCAAACTGAAGCGCCGGTTGAAACTAGAGGCGCGGGCCGAAACCGACCAGGGCGGCTTGGAGCCTGGACCCTGCGCTGTCCCAGCGGGGGACCAGGAGCCAGGACCGCCCGCCCGCGTGCGCACGGCCAGCGTGGACTCGGAGCTGAGCGCCCGGCTGAGCCGCAGACTGGACATCCAGCAGGGCGCAGCGCGGTCCGGCCGCTCGAAGGTTTTCAACCCCTACACCGAGTTCCCGGAGTTCAGCCGCCGCCTCCTCAAGGATCTGGAGCGCATGTTCAAAAAGTGAGCGCTGGTCCTGAGCCCCCCGGGAACGGGAGGTCGGGGAAGGAGCGAAGGGCTGCCGCGCCGCGGGTGGGACGTTGCGGGAAGGAGGTGCGGGCTTCCCGGGAGCATCGAGCATCTGGCCCAGAGCAACCAGATCTGGTGCACCAAGTTCATGGCGCGCGGTAGGGGACCTCCGCCGCTGGGGATCTGAGAGTTAGGGGTCATCTGTCCCAGGCGGGGCTCGGAGGTTCCCGTTAGAAAGGACCCTTCCTGGAGTCCCCTGCTCCCCAGGGCGGGTCCCTCCACCCGCAGGTCCAGAGATTTGCTCCGAGCATCTCGTAGGAAGCGAGCCCAGGGTGCACCTCACCTGCCAGCCTTAACTTTATCCCTCAAGGGAGGAATTAGCTGGATTGTCCTTTTATCTTTTAAAACAGAGGAGAAAGTTGACCCTTGTCTTTCTCATGGTGTCTGAGAGATGAACCAAGGCTGAGAACGTGGTTGCGCTGAGACACCACGGGGCGTCCCTAGGCCAGTGTGGGGCCAGGAGCCTTCTGGGGGCCTCGCCTATCCAGATAACCCTGCCAGCCGGTTGAGTTGCAGATACCGCTGTCTTGGGACTGGTGCTTGCTACTAGTCACCGGGGTGCTGCTGGCGCCTGGACCACCCATCAGAAGAGGGCGTACAAAGACCTGACAGGTGGCCTGTCACATGAGAGACCTCTTCTCTGCCCCCGTTTCCCCACTTGAAAGCAAGGTGTGGTGACTCTCGCGTTTAATCCCAGTTCTTTGGATTTGGGAAGCGGAGGCAGGCCATCTCTGTCTGTGAATTCGAGGCCAGCCAGCCATGTCGCAAAAAAAAAAAAAGAAAGAAAACTCACCTATCTTTATTTACTGTGAGTGTGCATGCATGAAGTGCCACAGCAGAGGTCAGAGGACAAGTCGTCCGTTCTCTCCACCACGCAGGTGTTGGGATGGAGCTCAGGTGGGCAGACCTGGTCGGTAGCAAGTGCTTTGACCGGCTGAGCCATCTCGCTGGCCCCACCTTTCCCTTTTAAGGCCACAAAGCAGTCTGGACACTGAAAATGCCTCACTAAGCTATTAATATTATTTCCAGAATCGGGCCAAGACCGGAAAAATGGCCGGGGGAGCGAAGGCCGCTGGCCAGGTCATGCTTGGGCGTCTTTAAATGCGCTTGGAATGTGTTTGCCCTCCACAAGGAGGTTCTATTTAAAGGCGCTGTGGCCTCCACTGCTCACGCTCAGGGTTCTGAAGAGCCTGCACCTGCTGTGCTCACTGCCTCTCTGACACCTTGACGTCTTGGTCCCTGTCTCCCAGCCACTGTTTTCTGTGTTCAGTTTGGGCAACTGAGGAAGGCGGATCTAGGACTAAAGAAGGAGACTGGAGTGAAGGCGGAAAAGCCAGAGAAGATACGGTTTGACAGAGACCCCGTGTTTTACACTTCACAGCTGCCCTAGCTTGGTTGCTCACCGGAGTACCAGTGCCCCCAGCGCCAGCAGATTCATCTTCACCTTGCTCCGTGGTCTCTCCAGGCGTTTGGTTTGTTTGTCTTACCAGGAAACACACTTAGGAAGGTTAAATTGTTGGTCCACTGCCTAAGAGGAGTAAAGTCCTCCAGTCCGGAGGTCTTGTGGGACCAAGCAAAGAGCAGGCACCATCCCAGCATCAAGCTAAGGGTAACCCATTGCTGACAGCCCAAACTCTGCAGAGTGTTTCTACGGGGCTCCGCTGTCCAGACGTCTGAATTCTGGGTTAGATCTTTCACCGCTTGCAGTAAAGCTCAGCCCCAACAAAAGTGGCCTGCCTCAGGTGTGGCTGGATCTGTGAGACTCAGGTGATGATGCGCTTTGTCTGTCCTCCTTCCCCTCCCCCTCCCTTTCTTGTTTCTTGAGTTATATACCACCTTATGCAGCCCAAGCCAGCCTGGAATTTACTATGCAGCTGAGGCTGGCTAGCTCCTGGTCCCACCGTGCCTTCTCCCTGGCAGAGGGCCTCACTCTGGGCTTCCAGCTGTTGAGATGCCTTGTGCACACCAACAAGCCCAGAACATTTCTTGCTTTCTAATGCCAGCTTCCTTTCCTGCCCTTTCTTTTCTGTCCTTTGTCTCAGGTGGCTCCTTCCAGTGGCAGAAGTGTGCCCACAGTTGCTCTGAGGAGGCAGGAATGTCATCCTGTCTCTCCCCCAAGGTCAGGGCCTCCCAGTCTAGGAGATTTCACTCTCCTAATATACTCTGGTTTTAGCTCTCACCCAGCCTGGTGTCCCAGGGAGACACAAATCCCTGACCAGTGGTAAGTGAACACAACCTCACTTTCTGAAGAGGTGCGTGTGGTCAGAGCTGTCCAATCGCTCTGCTTCCTTGCCACCTTCCGCCTTCTGCCTGGAGCTGCCTCAGAATGGCCAGCTGGCTCTGAGTCCTTCCTCTGATTATTTCATCAACTGGTGCTTGTAGGCACAGACAGGTGTGTATCTGTGCCCCATTGCCCTTGCCCTGGCAAGGACAGGCCCTGAGCCCCCTTCCACCCTTCTGTCACTGGGGCTTGGTGATTTGTAGATCTGCTCTGCCTGGCCGTGCCGCCTGTCCTGTAGGTGGTTAGGGTTCCTTTTCCTCTGCCTACAATACTGCATGGTTTATTTTAGTTATTGAGGTAGTTTTTTACTGTATGACCAGGCTGGCCTGGAACTCGTGGTATTGGTCCTGCCTTAGCCTTCCAAGTGTTGAGATTACAGGTGTGTGACTTTTTGGCTCTGTGTTACTTTTTCTATGAGGCAGGATTTTTGTTTCTCTGTGTAGCCTTGGCTGTCCAGACTCATTTTGTAGATCAGGCTTCCCTTGAATTTCCCTGCTTCTCTCTGCCTCCCTGAGTGCTGGGATTATAGGTGGGTGCCGCCATGCCCAGTGATATAGGATTTCATTCATATATCTTTAGGCTAGCCTTGAACTCACCATGTAGCCAAGAATGACCTTGAACTTCTGATCCTCCTGCGTCTAGCTCTCAAGGAGCAGGTCTGCAACTTACACCACCATATCCCTTTATGCAATATTGTAGATCAAACCCAGGGCTTTGTGAATGTCAGGCTAGTACTTCACCAACTAAGCCACACCCCTATCCCTCTGTATGGCTCTTAAAAGAACATATAAAACTGTGTCCTCCTGAACACCCACTTGTCCTCCAAGCCTCACGCTTTGCCCATAGAGTGTTGCCCATTGAGCCAGACAAGGAAACCCTGCATGCCACCTGGGGCTCCTGTGACCCAGACTCCCCTGGAGGTCAGTGCATTTAAATCAGCTCCTTTTTGCTTTCCTTGCCCTGGTCTGCTGGGGCAAGTTTAGGTACCCTTGCCACCCTTCTGCCCCCCAAGCAGCGCGCCAAAAACAAACCCAGTGTACCAGCTTGTCTCCATTGGATGGCTTCCTACCTTTCCCTCCTGGCTGACCGACCATTCCTGGGAGTTTGTGAGCAGCAAGACTGGGAGTGGGACTTCAAAGGTTCAAACCCAGCCTCCTCTGCCCAATCCTTCCCTGTCCTCCCAAGAGAGCATCTCTAGGGAGCCAGCTTAAATGTCCTTTGTGTTTGGGTTCCCTTTCTGCCGGGCAGGAATGTCCTAAAGTGTGGTGTGTGGGAAGCAGTTCGCTGACTTCCTGGGTTGGTTTCAGACACTTTCAAATACTTACTTATTGCTTACCATGATTATTTTTGGCTTTCGAAAGTAGCGTCTCACTCTGAATCCCAGGCTATCCTTGAACTCAGAGCAACCCCCTGCCTCAGCCTAAGTGCTGGGATTACAGAAATGAGCCGCCATACTAGCTTTACTCACAGACTTTTTTAGATGATTACATGGCTGTCATTCAGTCCCCATGAAAATCTGTGCTGCCCCTTTTGTTTAATGATTCGCTTTGCCAAGTCAAAGGCGACTGACTCCGAGGAGCTGTTTGCTTGTCTTTCCTTTTCTGGTCGTTTGAGGCAGGGTCTCACTGTAGATGGACTGCAGGCCCACAGCACATGAACCCATCTTCAGCCTGCTCTTTGAGCTGTGTTGTGGTGGTCTGGTCTTTCTGGGGTCTGTGGGCAGATCTCTGGCTCAGAGTTCCACTTCCCTGAGGTTTCCAGAACTCAGTTCCATACCCTAGGTAGCTAAAGACAACCATGCTTTCTCTTTCATAGCTCTGGAAGCCTGCAGTACAGGTGTTGGCTGTACCAGGCTCCAGGTGAGAGGGACTCTTTCTGCTTTCTCTCTCTGTCTGTCTCTCTGTCTCTGTCTATCTGTCTCTCTGTCTCTCTCTCTCTCTCGTGTGTGTGTGTGTGTGTGTGTGTGTGTGTGTGTGTGTGTTCGTTCATTCTCATGGCTCTCTTAGAGGCTTCCAGTCACTGCATTTCAGACTACCCTAATCCAGTATCGCCTCATCTTAATTTAACTTATTACCTCTTCAAAGACTCTATTTCTAACCAAGGTCACATTGTGAGGTTCTGAGTGGACTTGATAATGGGGGAAGGGGCTTCTACTTAACACAGGAGAGTGATCGAGACAAGCCCCTCAGTCCTCAAAACACTCTGGAGAGAAAGAATTCCAAGAAGGCCTGAGCGTTAGGAAGGTGGGCATATCAGATTTATTTAAAGACAGCACTGAGCTCCTGCAACCCCAGTCCCCTCCCCGTGGACTAGCCTTCTCAAAACCTTCTCTCTTGTAGAAAAGCGAGCCAACAGAGCCCAGCCCCATCTGTGCCCAGTGTGCTCTGGCTTCAGCCAGCCCACGAGAATTTTACTTTTCAGTGTTTCTAGATGTGAATTCTGATGTCGCCTTCTTTCCCCCGGGCCCCTTGCAGGGTGTAACCTGATTAGACCAGCACACACAAAGCACACCCACTCTTTGTCAGGAAGCAAGGCTAGATAGATTCACCTAGACACAGCAAAAAATTTTTTCTCTGGTCTTTTACATTTGATTTTTCTGTTTTAAGTGACTTGGCATAGGGTTCCTTACATTTTCAGAGCTTTAAAAGCAGGG